GTTCTAAGGTAGATTGTAACAGTAGTTTCTGATATACACTGGATCTAGTCAACAACTGGTGGCTAATCTAGGTGTTACCTATAGGTTATGTAAGGTACTGGTCAGTCTGTAACCTATAGGTTATGTAAGGCACTGGTCAGTCTGTAACCTATAGGTTATATAAGGAACTGGTCAGTCTGTAACCTATAGGTTATGTAAGGCACTGGTCAGTCTGTAACCTATAGGTTATGTAAGGCACTGGTCAGTCTGTAACCTATAGGTTATATAAGGAACTGGTCAGTCTGTAACCTATAGGTTATGTAAGGCACTGGTGTAAACAGATTGATCTGATAGCTAATGTGTATTGAGAATCAGGGAATCTTAACCAATACCTTCTTTAGAAATAGATACCACACCAGAAACGATCATGTGATGATATCTATTTATTTCAATGGAGGAAGGTCTGGAGTTTTGTAAATATTTTAATATTTACTATGTATTTCAAACAAGATTAGTGATGTGAGATATGTGTTATACACAAGGAAGACAGCTTGACCAGTAGAAGATGTGTATTGTGGTCTAAATAGATAAAGGCTTGTATAGCCCCAAGGATGTCGTACAGGACTAATGGAACAATAATGACCCATCCATCATCGGTAGTGTCCATCTGTCCTACCTGGACAGTCAATGTAAACAGTCTATTGGTCATCTTCTGTCTGATTGAATGTACAGAGTACACTCTGTAAAAACCGATCCCCACCATAACAGGGGTGTAACACTCAACACTTAAAAACTAGTCTTCACAAGCATTATAGAACTAATGTTTGAATCTAGATCAGTCAACTTTGTAGAACTCAACACATATTTTAGTCCAGACATTTAATGTTGTAGAACTCAAATTTGAGCCCTGGTGAGAAATTGAATTTGAGTCTTGACATGTAAACTGTGTAGAACTCACACTTTGAGTCATGACATGTAAACTGTGTAGAACTCACACTTTGAGTCATGACATGTAAACTGTGTACAACTCAAACTTTGAGTCTTGACATGTAAACTGTGTAGAACTCAAACTTTGAGTCTTGACATGTAAATATTATAGAAATCAAACATGAATCCTGACATATAAACTTTTGTAAAATTCAAACTTGAGTCACAGTGAGTAAAATTTGTAGAACTCAAACTTGAGTCCTGACATGTTAATTTTGAAGAACTCAATCTTGAGTCACAATGAGTAAATTGCTCAAGTCCTGATATGTAAATTTTGAAGAACTTGATAAACTTGAGTCATGATGAATGAACTTTATAGAACTTAAACTTGAGTCCTGACAAGTAAAAGTGTAGGGCTCAAACTTGAGTCCTGACAAGTAAAATGTGTAGGGCTCAAACTTGAGTCCTGACAAGTAAAATGTGTAGGGCTCAAACTTGAGTCCTGACAAGTAAAATGTGTAGGGCTCAAACTTGAGTCCTGACAAGTAAAATGTGTAGGGCTCAAACTTGAGTCCTGACAAGTAAAATGTGCTGAACTTAAAGTATTGTCTTTACAATTAAAATGTTTACAATGTTAACTTGAGATTACATAACACAAACTTAAATCATTTTTAAAATTTGAATTCAATGAAATGACTGGTTACATTTTTAGATGAATATGGCTGTACAGTTGAAGTATTGAGACTGGTAGTATAAGCTGTCAATTCAATTCTCTATATATTATCAGAAAAGAAAAAGATGTTATATACTTTTCTCTAGACATTGATAGATAACAGGTTATATCATACGGTAAATCATCATCAATTCCGCTGGCAATAATTATTTGTACAATATGCTGACTTCTACTTTCATAACTGGTCTACAGTATTTTCAAACTGAAGAAATCACACAGTTGATATGTTCTCTGGGATTATTGTACTAGATAATACAAAGTCATATTTTGATTTCTGTAAGAGCAGTGTAACATTGTTCAGCTATGATTTGAAATCTCCAGAGTAATTTTGATAGTAGTGACAATCAGCGTTGACATTTATGGTGAAATTAAGGTCTGTATGACATAGTGTCTTGTGTGACCTGTAAATAAGAAAAACAAGTTAACTTTAAACAGGTGAACCATAACAGGTAAATGACAAACATATGGAAATTACCTATTGAAAGGTATTTTGTGAAACATCCTAGCTCCAGGATATTTATTTTTCATTCACTTGGAAGATTTCAGATTGTGGTGTCTTGAGGAGATGTGTTAAATTTGATAGCTAAGATATTTATGGATCATAAAGATATTGATGTGAATTATACCTGACGAAGTCGTTCATTGTTGCATATACTCCCAATGTATGATATTCAAAGGTTAAGATTTTCACCTGTAGATGTCATATTGTATGTGTGTTCTCTAACCTCTCTGTCCTGTTTTACTTATAGATGTGATAGTGTCTGTGTTACCTGTAGATGTGATAGGGTCTGTGTTACCTGTAGATGTGATAGGGTCTGTGTTACCTGTCTGTGTTACCTGTAGATGTGTTATATGTGATAGTGTCTGTGTTACTGTAGATGTGATAGTGTCTGTAGATGTGATGTGATAGTGTCTGTGTTACCTGTAGATGTGATAGTGTCTGTGTTACCTGTAGATGTGATAGTGTCTGTGTTACCTGTAGATGTGATAGTGTCTGTGTTACCTGTAGATGTGATAGTGTCTGTGTTACCTGTAGATGTGATAGTGTCTGTTTTACCTGTAGATGTGATAGTGTCTGTGTTACCTGTAGATGTGATAGTGTCTGTGTTACCTGTAGATGTGATAGTGTCTGTGTTACCTGTAGATGTGATAGTGTCTGTGTCTAACCTCTCTGTCCTGTTTTACCAGTTGGTGTGATCCATTAGCATGTCACTGTTAAATTCTCATATGATGACAATAAGATAAAGCCATGGTTTATGATAGCTCAGCCCTAATATTCATGTTGCCCCTTTCTAGCTGGCAGTTATGATATAGATGACAATATTGTCTTCCTCAGGAAAAAGGTAGTTTACCTTGATACTATACTGTCAGGCAGCTGATTGCTACTAGCCCTAGATTTCCTATCATTTTTTGTGGCAGTGTGTGCCCAAAGGAGGTAGGAAATATATCAATGACTGTTTTAATTAAGATATTTCTGATTTTACTGATTTCTCATATTTAAAAAAATAAGCCACTATTTTAGCTGTGAAAAACACTTCTGTGAAACATGCCAAAATAAATACTTTATAGAATATGTACAGTTTGTATATACTACTTATATTTATCCACTTTGTATAAAAAATCCAGAGTTAATGCTGTTGAAAGATCTGAGAACCTGTTCCAGGTTTCTTAAACAAACCCTCTTGTCCAAGAGAGGAGTTTTCTAGAAACAGTAGAAGCACTATAGATGTTTGTTGGGGATTGAGGAAGGGAAAAGATGAAAAAAATGAAAACGATTCCATTTATTTTTTGTTTTAGAGATATAAAAATTTGATAGTTTGTATTTCTTAGTGATGTATCTCACCAGTGCTGTTTGCAGATCCTTCACTTACTGATTCTACAGTCCTACAGGTAACACGGGACTATAAATTACTGTCCAGTCTTAATAGAGATCGCTTTTATCAAACTTGTCAATTTCACCTGATAGCACGATAGTGTAGTGACCATATCCCACCCCTAAACACATGTAGCATTCCAGTCTCAAGGGGAGATTACTCCGATTGTATTACTGAATTGTGAGTAGCTACCTTAGGTATGATATAACAGGAGAGGTAGGCAATTACAGGAGTGACCCTGATAACTGGGTTACTGTACCCTTCAACAACAAACACTCCAATACATAGTTAGGTTGTGTATGGTGTAGAGCGACGTGTATCAGTAAACCAGGAACATAGTCAGACATCAGACTACTTACACTGAAGATATACCCAGTATAGAACCCCCATTAAGCCTTATATAGAATTCCAATGATTTACGTCTGGCCAGCTTTGGTGATCTAAGAGGCAATATGTCTGAAACAAGGCTCTGTACATTTTTTCTTAATTTGTAAAGAAATTAAAAACATTTCAATTTTAGGTGAGAAGTAGTTCGTTTTGCTGGCTTGTTATGTACAGAGTTTCCCTTATGAATCATATTACATACATATTACTGTGACCCACTCACCCCTGGATTTATCTAATGGTATCTTCGGTCCATTGATATGGAACAATCTAACGTCATCTACTGGGTTATACATCTGTATCCCGTGACATTTTGCATTAACAGCTTTCAAAGCTGAACATTACTGAATCATGTTTTACAAATGTGTTTTGTGTTGAGGTGATTTGTGAATTGGGAAATTTCCAATTTTACTGTAAATCAGTGGGAAAAATGTACAGGGTTAATCAATGAAAGCAGCTACATTGTGTACACGACACCTGTTGGTGTTAGATCAAGTTAAGATTAGAACATGTTTTTTACTATGTGTGTCTTTACATAATTAATTCTTTATATTTCTACTGCTAAAATCCTTTCTTGTCAAAAAGATATCTACATCCTGAAAGTTTATACAGCCAGATAACGAAGGTGGAGATGTTAATCTCTGTTATTCTTATCATGTTGTTACCAAGGTGACCATCAAAGCTTAATTACATTTAACTGATATATTTTTATAAACCAAATGAACTTACACATTTACATTTGTGTGAAAATATCTTAGTAGCCCAAAAATATGTGGGTTCCCTACAAAGTTTTGTTGTCTAAAACGGCTGTAAATTCTGTATCAATGTATCAACACTGTTCAGTGTATCAAGGTAATATGCTGCATAGTTAGATGTAAATATGAGGTCTGTGTTTCCATACAGACATTGTCTCATGTTTTCTAACTTTGTGGATAATTTTGGCTTCCATTTAAGTTGGTATGATTGATTTTATGCTGCACATGGTACAAGCTGCAGTACTACAGTAAGCTGGTGTTCTAATTTCACTACAATAACAATACCATGTATCTAAATATTATTCTCAGTTATTAAAACAATAATCCATTCCCATTTTTATCTTGCAGGCAAGGTCAGAAACTGAGGTACAGTCAGAGAAAGCATGGTTGGAGGCAGAGAAAGTTTGGCTTGTCCACAAGGGAGGCTTTGCTTCAGCCTGTGTGCTCCGTGCCAATGGCATGTCCACTCTCCCAGAGGGACGTGTCCGTATCAAGCTGGACCACGGTGGCGATATTCTTGAGGTAGATGAGGATGATGTTGAAAAGGTAAGTCCATGAATATACTAAAATCAAAGTTTTGTCCATCCACAACTTCATTTTGTTGTGTTCATCAAACTGATGTTTGTTACAGAATTGTTAAATAGCATTGGATTATAATTTTACTAAACCATATATGGTTAGGTATATTACTACTAATGAGTGAAGTATTACATTAACATGGAATATATAAAGACAGAGTGATTTCTTGGCAGATAAATGTCTAGAATCCAAATATATGTGTAGGTGTCCTGTATACACCTGTCAGCATAGTATTAGATAGATGAAATGATACAGTCATATTTCTTACGACGACATGGCCCCAGTGTCAACAGAATCATTAATATGTCAATGTCTATCAATGGTCTCCTGCATTAATCAGTCGGTTTTACTAAAAGTCTTATACCGTGGATATATATCAGATAAACCAATATCAGGCTGAATCAAATGAAAGTAAGTCTCATTGATAACTTGCCTGAATGATTTAAGTTATTAATTCTAATATCCAAATATTTTGATTAATACTTAGACCAAACCTACCAGCTAATAATACTAATTATCATTGATATCTCATCATTTATCATATTATGATGTATGTGAACCTTCTAGTCTTACAGTCGTTTATAAGTGATTTGTGTATTGTTACAGGCAAACCCTCCACAATTTGACCGTGCTGAAGACCTAGCATCTCTACGGTACCTGAATGAGTCCAGTGCACTGCATTCTTTCCGACAGAGGTACGGAGGAAACCTGATCCACACGTACGCAGGACAATGTATGATCGTGGTAAATCCTATGCACCCAATGGCTATCTACTCTGAGAAGGTGAGTGGAAAGTTTCGGTAAATCCATCTGTCATCTGTGAAAAGATAAAAGTAAGGTTTGATTTGTGTTTTAATGGAAAGTCACTTAGCTACTTTTAGCTCTCAATCAATACTCTGTTAGTGGAAAGCAAAATTAATGATAGAATTTGGAAAGAATTCCCACCAGAATCATTTTTGCTAAATTTTGTGGTCAGGTTTTAAAAATAACATTGAAGGTCACATATTCCTGGAATCTAAAGTTATAACACAATCACTTGGCAATTTCACCATATCATGTTGTCAAATACAGTATTTCTATGTTGAGCGTTAGATCTAATTATGTGTATATTTATAGGTGATACAGGTGTTCCGTGGATGTAAACAGGAAGACATGCCTCCCCACATCTACGCAACTGGACAGATCGCTTACCGTGAGATGCTCAACTCTCGTAACGACCAATCAATTGTGTTCATGGGGCGAAGTGGTAGTGGTAAAACTACTAATGGACGACACGTTCTCCACTACCTGGTGGCCTCCGCTGGGAGTGTTAGTAACATTCTAACAGGTGAGAATGATATCAAGTTAGGGAGATAACTGCATATGTACTGGTAATAAACATTCTCAACAATTTTGTGACCCTGGCAGGGAGTATTGGTAATATTCTACCAGATAACTTACTCTTAGCAAGGGAGGTAACTCCACAGGGACTATGTAATCACATTGTGACATCAAATTGATTTTATCGTGCTACTGGTAGGATTCAGATAGATTTCCTGTTTTTCAGTGGATAAACTACATGCAGTGTCGACCTTGCTAGAGGCTTTCGGTAATAGTAGAACTATTCTGAACACAAATGCCAGTCGGTTTGCCCAGCTGACCACTCTTGACTTTGACCATTCCGGACAGATCACCTCAGGTTCTGTACAGGTAAGTAATACACCTTTAGATGTAAAATTATATTTTTAAAGTTTTCCACATTTGTTTTTCTTAAAACATCATGCAGAACACGCCATGATTTTGTATTTCCCCATACATACCTGAAAATGATGTTATTTGAAATGAAATATGGATCTAGTTTGATGTTGCTAATAATTGGATACAGCATTCTGATTTGATTAAAACTTGTGTTGTTTGCTTTGATATGCAAAATATTTGGGGGGGGGGGGGGGGGGGGGAATGTTATGGTATGTTTTCAATGTTTGTAGCCAAAACCTTAGATTTTTAGCAGAGAACTGTACAACCATACTGCTTAATTGGTTTTAACATGTTCTTATTATGTTGTAACAAAAATTTTATATATATGTTTACAGATATTTTTGTTTGAGAAGACTCGTGTTGTACGTCGCCCAGAAGGGGAACCTAGCTTCCATGTATTCTATCAGATGTTGGCAGGAATAGATTCAACACTAAGGTAAGGCAGCGCTGGGACACACATGGGAGTGAAATATTTATTTTCTTTGAGGATTCTGTATTACAAATATGTCTTTGCTGAATATTTACATTGCTAAGTCGGTGCTAGTTTACATTTCATTGACCTAATTGTTTGGTGGAAGAATGGTAAGATTTTCTTGAATATCAGTCACTGTAATTGGTGTAAGGGTAGACAACTCTGTTTTAATACATCATCTTTTTATCTTTTTCAGGAATGAGCTACAACTGAACTCCTTGAATGAACCAAACCTGTTCATGACACCACTACAAAGGGTATACTGTTTGTTGTACATTTTAAACTCGTTTATAGATTTATAGACAAAATGTATTGATCAAAGCCAACATTTTATACGTTTAAGAGACCTCCAATTATTGTTTACCTAACTTGAATCATTTAGATGATTTTAAATTCCAGGTTCATTCAGTAGAAAGTGCATATTGAATTTATCTTGTTTTATTAAGGTTTGAAGAATTTCTTCTGATACATGTTGATTTCTAAGAAAGAACCTAGAAAACCTTAACTGGAGAGAAAGAAATTGACAATACTCCAAATAAGGTAATATGTTTATCACATATTTATATCTTAACAGTCAGAGGACCGACAGAGAGCATCAAGTGCGTGGGCCAAAATCTACAATGCCATGGACCTAGTGGGCATCAATGATGAGGAGAGAAAAGCATTGTGTTTTGTGTTGGCTGCAATATACCACCTGGGTGTGGCAGGGGCAGTCAGGGGTACGTATCTCATTACACTAAAGTTTATATGCCACCTGGGTGTGGCAGGGGCAGTCAGGGGTATGTATCTCACTACAGTACAAGTTTATATACCACCTGGGTGTGGCAGGGGCAGTCAGGGGTATGTTTCTCACTACAGTACAAGTTTATATACCACCTGGGTGTGGCAGGGGCTGTCATGGGGTAGGTATCCCACTACAGTACAAGTTTATATACCACCTGGGTGTGGCAGGGGCAGTCAGGGGTATGTTTCTCACTACAGTACAAGTTTATATACCACCTGGGTGTGGCAGGGGCTGTCAGGGGTAGGTATCTCACTACAGTACAAGTTTATATACCACCTGGGTGTGGCAGGGGCAGTCAGGGGTACGTATCTCATTACACTAAAGTTTATATACCACCTGGGTGTGGCAGGGGCAGTCAGGGGTATGTATCTCACTACAGTACAAGTTTATATACCACCTGGGTGTGGCAGGTGCAGTCAGGGGTATGTATCTCACTACAGTACAAGTTTATATACCACCTGGGTGTGGCAGGGGCAGTCAGGGGTACGTATCTCACTACAGTACAAGTTTTTATACCACCTGGGTGTGGCAAGGGCAGTCAGGGGTACGTATCTCACTACAGTACAAATTTATATACCACCTGGGCACGACAGGGGAAGTCAGGGGTACGTATCTCACTTCAGTACAATTTTATATACCACCTTGGTGTGGTTATGGCAGTCAACGGTAAATATTTTGCTATAGTGCAAGTTTATTTACCAACAGGTCGTAGTCAGATCATATTTTACAAACAAATGTTTTTCACTATATCGTCTTCAGTTTTAACAATGAATTAGTCATGTTGGTTTAATGTATGATGATGTTTTAATTTATCATCGTTTTAGATTTACATTTATTGAAGATTACTTCTGACTAGCATCACGATAATGTTTTGTTTTAGGTCAGAATAATAAGCCTCAGTTTGCCCGACCAGCAGCAGCCCAGAAAGCTGCATCACTGCTTGGGTTACCAGTGGAGGAACTCTCCAGACAGATATTTGCCAATGCTGGATCAGGCACGCTGACACGTAATTCCTCTGTTAGGTACGTCCTTAGGCTCCTCTGAGCTTGGACTGTAAGGTTTTTAAAACCTTGTGAATTTGAGTGTCTTGATGTTGGAATTTTCTCAATTCTTAGATATTGCTCCAACACCTCCAATTGTCCAATGTTTTGAAAATTCACTTTGTGATGGAAATAAAGGATCTTACAGGAGTGAATTTATTGAACAAGTTCAGTAAATTGATGTGTCACAAGTCTTAAGTCTAAAGTGAGAGGCCATTTCATGAAAACAAAACTAATGTCCTTTAAGCAGTAAACATATCATAATCAGCTGTACAGTAGAGATTTGATCCACATTATATGTAAACTATCTATCACAGAAACAGCCCAGCTGACAAGGGTGCCAACGAGGCTCACCAAAGTGCCATGGACGCTCTAGAAGGCTTCGTCATAGGTCTCTACTCAGACGTCTTCAATGCGCTAGTGTCTCTTATCAACAGGTATGTATTAACAGGTGTCTGTTCACTGGAATAGCCATGTTCATGGACAGGTGTCTATTCACTAGAATAGCCGCACTCATTAACAGGTGTCTTTTCACTGGAATAGCTGAGTTCATTAACAGGTGTCTTTTCACTGGAATAGCTGAGTTCATTAACAGGTGTCTTTTCACTGGAATAGCTGAGTTCATTAACAGGTGTCTATTCACTCGAATAGCTGATTACTTTACTAGAAATCTGTATTACTGTATACTTTCAGATCTCTATCATCCACATACCGAACCTCAGCATCCATTACTTTGGTGGACACGCCTGGGTTCCAGAACCCAACAACATGTGGACGACAGTCAGGTGCAACTTTTGAGGATCTTTGTCATAACTATACACAGGAACGCCTTCAGCTGCTCTTCCATGATCTCACATTTACCATACAGCAAGACAGGTATAGCCAGGTAAGTCAAATATTACAGGTAATCAAGGACAGGTAAGTTAGGTGTCACAGGTAATAAAGGACAGGTAAGTTAGGTGTCACAGGTAATCAAGGACAGGTAAGTTAGGTGTCACAGGTAATCAAGGACAGGTAAGTTAGGTGTCACAGGTAATTAGGTTATCAAGAATCGGTAAGTTAAATTTAAAGAACAAGTAAATCAAGTGTTAAGAACAGGTAAGTCAGATGTTATAAGTAATCAGTGACGAGTAAATCAGGTATTACAGGTAAACTGAGTGATAATGTCCTATCTTAACTTGAGCATGCAGTTTGTCAGTCACTGAAAAGAAGTTTTATAAACATTATTAAGTCATAGCAACAGTTACAAAGAACATGTAAGTTGTAAATGTGAGATTCTTCTCAGCAATACAACTGATACTCTATTCTAATGTTATATCTTATACCTTTTCTATTAACATAGGAAAACATTGACTGTGATTTTGAGTTCGTGACAACCAGTCCTGCTGCCATGGTTTCTCTGATAGACAAACAGGCCCAACAGTTACTGGTAAGTCCGTTACAACAGGGGGATGACCAGAGGAGGGAGATACTGTTTTGGTGGGAAAGAGGGGTGGCTGGGAGGGAGACTTGAACTTAAAAGGAGGCGCAGACAAATTCTGCTACTGGGGTGACAAGGATGGATGTGCAGGCTAGACTAGGAGAGGCAGTACAGGTTATCAGCTTTTTGAGGAGACTGAGTGAAGGCCAAAGAGCCAACTACTGGATGTCTAGATAAGCAGTAAAGGAAATTTCTGAAGCACATGTTTTTTCATTTTGATATATTGATATATAAATTATTACATCTGTTTATCATTGAAGAATATATTTTGATACATAGATCCTCTGTTAGTCTTCCTGCTGACTGTTATCTGTTGTCAAAGTCAGCCATGAATACAAGTTTTATGTAGTATATATATATATAGATATAGTCTCAGTATATAGCTGTGTTTTCTTCTGCTTTCTTCTGTCTCATAATTGATATTGTCTTCTTTTTAAAAACAAACTACCATTTCACATTTATATCGTAAACATTTTTAATTTAATTGATGTAAACTTTATGAAAATTTTTCAGAAAATGAATTGGGTATAGATTTTTGTTATTGATAACTTTGCTTTGCTGACAAGAATCTTCTATTCTCTTACTAAGTAATTATGATATGCAGGACTGCAAGATTTTCATTGAAAATCTCATTTCAACAGTTTATAATTGTATGCCATACCTGCTGTTATTGTATATTCTACTAAACAGGTATATATTTTTCACGTGATAATGCTCTTCATTTGAATAAAACTTTATTCCTAACCCACTTCATTTGGTTCCCAAAAATCTGCTCAATTCTTGTAACTTTTGACACTATGAGTCAAATATTGTACTCAGTTCTTGTATCTTTTTTGCTCTGTGAGTATTCTTGCATCAAAATCTCACAATATCTCTAATCTGAATCTCATTTACTCTGCAGTTCTATTATGCAGTGAGCCAAGCATTAACTTTTTTACTCATTGACACAGTTAGGAAACCAATCTACACAATTTTAATTGGTTTATGCTGTTGGAGTGTCAATCTAAGACTGTGTAACAAGTCTACCCATTGCCACAATTCTAAAATTTTACATGAAACAATACTTATTAGATTTTCATTTACACTCCATACATGGGAAGCAGAATCAAGTGGATTAGGCAGACTAAAATCTCACTTTACCTTGCTTAATAAACAGTTGCTTTTTGGAATTCATTTTTATATACAAATGTATCATAAAACATGCTGTTAAAACAAAATTTACCACAAATTATTTGTATTTTGTCCTAAAGCCTCATGGGCGTCCCAGTGTCACTAAACACCATAGTGGCACTGCCCACCATCACAGTGGCACCACCCACCACAGTGGTGGCCATCATGGTGGCTCAGCCACCCTGGGTGACATCGGTAGAGCTGAGCACGTTCACTCAGCCACGGACGAGGTATCCATGGTGATTTTCTTGGTTTAGGTTTTTGATATGCTTTATTACTTTGTAGTGTTATTGTTACAGCCTTGTCCAGTGTTTTTTCTCTTTCTTATTGTGACAGATGTGTTTATGTTGCTATGGTAAAACAAATTATTTACGCTAATTTTTTAGATCCTGCCTGCTAATTGAATACTGTAATTATTGATAAATTTATATCCTTTGTAAAAGAAAGTAAGCAAGCATTGATAAAGTATTCATTATGAAAAAATGTCTTGTTAATAAAGCTTTTGCAAAATAAAACATTATTTGGAGATGACAGTATACTAAAAATTATAATGCTTATTGATAAACTGAGAGCTGTTAACAGGGATACTGATGTTTATGTTAAGAACAGAGAAAATCACAGACAATCTTGATCCATTCTTCTGTAAGATGTTACAGATTCTAATCCTGATTTGGTATTAAAGTTAGATTTTGTTTGAATGGTGTTACATGGACGATTAAATCTGTGATAAAGATATAAGTAAATGTTTACAAAGTCTGTAGAATGGATCAGGATATTAGACATGGCACAGATTTAAATCCCAAGTTATTAATCAAGGGCAAAGGTCAAAACATGGCTGTCGAGTGTGTTGGAGGGAGGTGTGGAAAGTCTTTTTTTCACTTGAGTAAATAGCTGCCACATTAGCTATAGATTCACTACGTTTCACAGTCAGGACATATTGGCATGTTTTCTCTTTCACATTAGTTTTGAATTTATTCTTCACTGAACTATTTTCAAAATCTGAAATAGATTTTCTTAATAACTTTCCCACCTTTCACACCTCACCAGTGCTGCTTGAAGGAAGTGGAAATATCAAGGTTTTATAAGAATTACCTGAACCCAAGTAGTTGTGATCAGGTTTCCAAGGTGATGGTTAGCAGTGTTACTAAATATTTGTTGTCTGTTGTATAAGTCTGCCTCTAAAAGACTTGTAGGAAATGATGTCTGTATGTGAAGTAGGAGACCTGTTGGTCCTTAGATGACCTGGTTTTAGTTCACAGTTTGTTGTCAGCAAATTTCCCTTGGGCTAAGTAATATCTAGTTGAATATCTGATAACTGGTAAATGTTACTCAAAAGAAAGTACTTTTATGGTTGGAGTTGGGGTCTATTTTATCCTATAATTGGTACAACCAAATTAGAGAGTGTTTATCATATCCTGTGATAGGTATAAGCTAATCGGGGAGAGGTTGATGTATCATGTCCTGTGATTGGTCAGGGGATGAGGATGATGGGGTGTGTCTTTTGACTAGTATAATCAGATGAGGGGGAGGAGTTGATGAGTCATGTCCTGTGATTGGTATAACCAGACTCAGAATGGGGTTAATGTATCATGTCCTGTGATTGGTTTAACCAGATTCAGTGTGGGGTTGATGTGTCATGTCCTGTGATTGGTTTACTGAGATTCAGGGGTCACTTTCTTCATGTGTCATGTCCTGTGATTGGTTTATTGAGATTCAGGGGTCACTTTGTTCATGTGTCGTGTCCTGTGATTGGTTTACTGAGATTCAGGGGTCACTTTGTTCATGTGTCGTGTCCTGTGATTGGTATAACCAGATTCAGTATGGGCTACATGTGTTGTGTCTTGTGATTGGTGTAACCAGATTCAGTATGGGGTTCATGTGTCGTGTCCTGTGATTGGTGTAACCAGATTCAGTATGGGGTTCATGTGTTGTGTCCTGTGATTGGTATAACCAGATTCAATATGGGGTTCATGTGTTATGTCCTGTGATTGGTATAACCAGATCAGAGAGAGGGGTTTGTCTCGTGTCCTGTGATTGGTATAACCAGATCAGAGAGAGGGGTTTGTCTCGTGTCCTGTGATTGATGAAATGTCTCTCATACTTATTTGATTGTCTATTTAGGTTTGCTACCTAGATTTATTAGAAACAGCTTTGCTTCCTGATTTCTAGCTACATGATCTCTTGTTTTGGAACGTGTGTTAGAAATGTCTGCATGTTAAATTTTAATGATGACTATTTAATCTGAAAACGTTATTTGAGAGTATTAGAATAGTTTTTACTGAATTTGAAATATTCATTTTGAATGGTTGTTTATTTACTATTTTTTATATGGATGTTGTTGTTCTAGTTCCGTTTGTGACTTCAGATTTTAATTTTTTCGTTTTTGTCCTTTAAAATACAAACTGAGTTACTACAATGTATTTAGCAACAGCCTGAATTATCTCCCCTTCAAAATCTTTTGTTACAGCGAACCTCCTCCCAAGATCTCAAGGATGCTGATAAAAAAGGGTTGCTATGGATACTAGATGAAGAAGCTATCTTCCCTGGAGCAACAGAAGATTCTTTTATGGATAGATTCTTCAAAAATCACGGGGAACAAAAAGTCCGAAGTAAGATAATCATTTTGCTATCAGTATTTATGTGAAACTGCTGGTCAGAGATCTTTATTTATCAGTGAGTGGTCACTCTGAATATTTCTGTTACAGGAGACAGTTTACTGAGGAAAGCATCATCAATAGGCAACACGTTCATCTTAAACCATTTCCAGGGCACCAATCCTGTACAGTACAATGCTAGTGGCTGGCTCAAGGTGTGTCGGGAGAACCCACAGATCAAGGTCGCTACTCAGGTCTTACAGGACTCCAAAAAGTAGGTCATACCCGTCTCAACATGTATCACAACATTTGCTGTTCTTGACCTATATTTATACTGCACAGTCAAAAAATCTTTGATTCCTGTCTGTATAAGCAGATCAATACTCCATAAGGCAGAAATAACAACTACCAGCAAATTCATTGTCATTTTTATCAGAAAATCTGAATTGTGAAACAGATTGGATTCTTATTTTAGTTTAAAAATTTCATCAAGATCTTTTGTTATAAAAACCTGATGATGAATTTTCTTACATTTGTAGACAAAATATAAACCAACTATTTAATAACGTGAAGGCCCCTGTTGCTGGAATGGTGAGTGGGTCTATTGTTGGGATGGAAGGAACTGCCTCACTACGACGCGTTGGCAGCATGAGGAGAACCTTCATGTCTGGCACGGCTGGAATCAAGAAACGCTCGCTTTGTCTACAGGTCAAATTCCAAGTGGTGAGTAGATTTAGAGACAGAATTACAAATATGGTTGTCACTTTTGATGTTTTACTGAATTTTGTATGTTATTGCTTGCATTTGTCCAATGGAAAACCCACTGAAAAATAAATGGTTATTGAAGCCCATTTTGATCTCTCTTCACAGGACTCCATCATAGAGACCATCAGAAAGACCAAATGTCACTTTGTCCACAACATCCTGCCACAGCACAATGCAGGACTGTGGGAACTCAAACCTCTCCCTTCTCCTACTGACAAACCAGGCACTCCTGATGAGATTCTCATGAATGTACCACTAGTACGCAGTCAGATCAGGGGCAGTGAAGTGCTTGATTCTGTAAGGATATACAGACAAGGTAAGGGGTCAGATGTTTTATCAGTCTGAAACAGATGTAGGGAAGCTCTTATAGACAAGGGATGAGGTGTGTTAAACCATAAGTCATAGGCACAGGTAACATATGCATCGGTCACAAGGGTTTAGGTCACAAACTCATGTGTCACATGAACAAGCTATGTTTCATTAACAAAGATTACAGATGAGAGGTGACAAGGGAATAAGTCACAAGATAAGGTCACAAGGACAGAATTTACCACCATGTAAGTCACAGAGCAGAGGTCATTAGTCACAAGGGCAGAGGTCAACATAGTACCTGTCAGAAGATCACCACAGATTTAATGTCAGATGTAGATGATCTCGGAGAGTAAGATATGATAGTTATATTTCAAAGATTGCAATGTAAAGTGTTTATTTTAATTTAGGATTTCCCGACTCTATGAGGATGTCAGAGTTTCGACACAGATTTGAGGGTCTTCTCAACCCGACTAGTCGACCAGCACCAGACATGGAGGAAAAATTGGTAAGTACTGTAAACAGAAGTCTTTAAACTCAAAATAGAGCAAACACAATTAACCAAGTAATGGCATGTTAAGGTCAAGGTCATAACATTGAACAAATTTCACAATTCTATTTTAGTATTTTTTAAAGTGAAATGTTATTGGTGTTTGATGATGTATTTTTATGCCTGATATGTTACATCGATGGAAGTGAATCTCTCTGATTAGAAACAGAGTAGAAAGTTTTATCAAGTAATCATTAAATTTATATTATCTCTCTTCAAGGTCAATATGTAAGCACTAATAACATTTCCAATTTTGTTTTTTCTTCAGATAAACAGTTCTGCATGTTTAACAATTTTCCATTTTGAGAATTAAATTATTGGTTTTAATAGTTTGACCTAGATTCCATAGCGGAAGTAGATAACACAGTTGTGATTTCTGACAGTTTCATTAGAGGGATAACTACATGCCAATCTGCCAGGATTGATTAGATCCAGGAGAATGTAGAAAATGATTCTGTGAGGACAGTGTGGCTCACATGATTTCACTATGTTGTATAGTATGTAGGCTGATGTAGAAACACATGGGGTTGTGGTATGCAGAATTTATATAACTTAATCAGTAGATACACATAATTATTTTAATGTGATTTCCTCATGGCAACATTGAGGTGTTATCCAACTATTCATGTGTTGTAAGATCTTGTCCACTTATTGTAAGTATACTTCACCATTTGTCTGTATAAGGCTATAGGGACAGATTTTTGTACACTTATTGTAACTGTGACAGTGTGTATAGAGACAGATTTGAATATTTTTTGTTAAGATATCATTTGTCTGTATAAGGCTATAGGGACAGATTTTTGTACACTAATTGTAACTGTGACAGTGTGTACAGAGACAGATTTGAATATTTTTTGTTAAGATATCATTTGTCTGTATAAGGCTATAGGGACAGATTTTTGTACACTTATTGTAACTGTGACAGCGTGTATAGAGACAGATTTGAATATTTTTTGTTAAGATATCATTTGTCTGTATAAGGCTATAGGGACAGATTTTTGTACACTAATTGTAACTGTGACAGTGTGTATAGAGACAGATTTGAATATTTTTTGTTAAGATATCATTTGTCTGTATAAGGCTATAGGGACAGATTTTTGTACACTAATTGTAACTGTGACAGTGTGTATAGAGACAGATTTGAATATTTTTTGTTAAGATATCATTTGTCTGTATAAGGCTATAGGGACAGATTTTTGTACACTAATTGTAACTGTGACAGTGTGTACAGAGACAGATTTGGATATTTTTTGTTAAGATATTGTATGAAGTAGTTTGTTATTGTTAAGTGTTATAGAACATCATGTTACTTACTTGACTAATGTTGTTTATGAAACTAAAAATACTTCCCTTGTAAGAACGCTTGATATGACATTCAGAGATTGAATTAACTCTATATAGTTATGATTGAAACAGTATATATAAATTTTGATGGAAATTTACATTTTACAGGCTGTGACCACGATTTTGGATCATTTGGAAATAGAGAAACTCAACTACAGAATTGGACTTAGCCAGGTAGGACCTCAATTTTATAATATATTGTTTTCTCCTACAGTTAGAGCAATTTAGATTTTGTGTCATCAGAACCCAAGGGTCAGGATTACTTCTCGTCATTATGTTTCATTCATGGTCATGCATCATAAGCTGAACATAAATTTTTTACATTTACTTCTCAAGTTTTAGCTGTGGAATACGACTGAATCTTGTTTAGATTGAGAGAGAAGGTCCTGAGCAAACAGCATTTTTTGGAGTCAAGTTTGAAATTCAATATGGCCACTACATGGAAAAACACATTTTAAACTTCTTTTCAATTTTCATCGGTGCCACTGAGCTGAAAATTGATTAGTGTTGTTAATTTTGGGTCTCATTGAAATTCAATATGGCAGCCATTTTGTTACATGATTGCTCAATCATGGTTGTCCTAAACAACACATTTTTTGAAATTTCTCTACTAATTTAACCAGTTGGATTCAGGTGAAACTTGTCTGAAATGACTCTGAGATGGTGCTGACAAAGTGTTGTTATCTTTCAAGTCATTCTGAAATACAATATGGCCACCATTTTAAATTTCTGGAGTTCCACTAGTGCAATGGAGCTGAATTTTTGTGGAAATGTGAAAAAATTGAAACGAAGAGTATTTTGTTTTACAGTTCAAGTATTCCAAACTGTTTTAATCGTTTAATAAATGTTCTTCCTACTGCTACTGATACTATATCATGTATAGGTCTAAATAGTCAGATGACTTGAGGCCCAGAGCCTCTTGTGAACTGCGCTGCCATGACTTCTGTAACATAAACATACAATTCACATGTTGTACAACAGCCAAACCTGTCTATAAAGGACAGCAGCGAGATTCAGCAGAATTGTGTTTTGTAGAGAGGTGTTCTTTGTATAGAGGATGTAGTACATTTTACCATGTGAGTGTGACTTGTTTAATTATTACTATATGGAATATGAACATGTTGATTACTTTATAATGCTTGTAAAAACATAAACACACATATCGTATATACACTGTAAGATAATTACCATTTATAAATATAAAAATACCCAATATTTTATCTAACTACTTGTTGATAAAAAAGTCACCATATTTTATAGAAACTAAGTTATTTAGGATATGCTTTTTGTTCCTGAAAATAAGAAATTAGGTGTTTTCACGCTTCACTGGCTTCTGTACAGACACTGAGAAGTCTGATAGTGTGATGGAATCTTACCTGAGTGTTTTCATAGCAAGCTCCAATTGTCTAGAGATAGCAGACATATTTGAGACTGCAAAGCCCTGTTTGTGTTGAAGAATTTTTCCTTTTCACAGGGGTGTTATGAAGAAAAATACATTGAAATGACAAAAAAATGTCTACTTTAAGGAGGTGTCTTTTTTAAAAAGGGGTCTACTTATAGATGCCATGCTTTTGCCTTGGTAGTTAAAACCATCACAATCTAGTTAAGTGTTGGCTCTTAATACCAGGTACAATTGTTCTGAACCATTGTATTGTGTCTACGAATGATAACAAGACTTACCTCTTATTGGAATATTATTTCACAACTGGAACTCTCCTTGTCGTCAGGTATGCGAGCTCTTAATATCCAATATCAATCACAAAACACAGGCCCTTTATGACTCTTTATCAAACCATTGTCAATCACCTTTAACAATGTAGAGACAATTTTCTGATCATTCTGCCAGGTAGAAAAGCTCCTTCTGTTGTGTATTTCCACAGGTAGTACAGTTTGTATATCTACATACCACACATACCAGTCCTGTCAGTCTCCTTCAAACTCAAGTACCTTACAGCTTCATTCATCATCAGTTTAGGCTTCTTACTTCAAAAAACTATTAAGGCTAAATAGTGAAAATTCCTGATCTTAATAAAGTTCTAGTGTAGAGTCTTGGGTTTTAGAATAGGATTAAAAATGGCCTTGATGTAGGAACAATGAGAAATATTGGGCTATGGTTTGCTTTGATGTGATAATGGGTGTAAATATTACCTCATGTTTGATGCACTGATTTACCTTGGATATAAATTACATGCTAATATTAATGATGTAATAAGCAAAAGTTAGTGATGTAAAAACTCAAATTGATGATGTAATACACAAACCGGTGATGTAATAAGTCAAATTGATGATGTAAATCACAAGTTAGTGATGTATAACTCAAATTGGCAATGTTGTATACACTAGGTGGTGTTGAATAAGCCAAATTAGTGAATTTATAACTTTAACTGATGATGTAAAACACAAGTTAGTGATGTAATAACTCTTGTTAAAACCTCTTGTGTGTCTGTAACCTTTGACCTGTAATCATTTCCATATATTTACACTACCACTACCAATCCAGGAAATGTTTACTATTTATGCAGCTCAGAACTTTCAGTACTTTGATGGTATCAGTAATAACAAGTAGCACTTGAGATGACAACTAAATCCTCAGATACCTCCTTAGCTGGTAACCAGGATCACTTAGCTATGTTACGGCTTATGACTCTCAGCCTATAGTGGGTATTACGCTAGGAGTTATATGACTCCAATGGCCTCCTTTAGCAATTGACCCTAACTGTATAACTGATGTATCCCCACTCTGATGTAGGTATAATCTGTGGTAGACCAGACTCATCTCCCACCATTCAGAAAATTTACTACTTAAACATCAGCATCCAAAAAATGCTTTGTGGATTATAGAAGGTTACAGGGCTGCAGTGCTTTTGTATAGGTTATCTGTACCAGTGTATTAGGTATGTGTACATATCTCCTTATTGTTGTCTGTTTACTTTTACTTCTTTTTTTTGTTAACCTGTAAAAAATATGATCTGTTTACCTGTGTACCTGTTCTCTCTCTCTCTCTCTGCATGCCTGTTATCTGTCTACCTGCATATGTATCATCTTTTTACCTGTGTACCTCTATCTACATGTATACCTGTTATCTGTATACCTGTCTACTTGCTAACTGTCTACCTGTATACCTGTAATCTTTCTACCTGTATACCTGTAATCTGTCTACCTGTATGCTTGCTATCTGTCTACCTGCTTCCTATCTACCTTTGTACCTGCTATCTGTCTACCTGTATACCTGTAATCTATCTACCTGTATATCTGTTATCTGTCTACCTGTATACCTGTAATCTGTCTACCTGTATGCTTGCTATCTGTCTACCTGCTTCCTATCTACCTTTGTACCTGCTATCTGTCTACCTGTATACCTGTAATCTGTCTACCTGTATGCTTGCTATCTGTCTACCTGCTTCCTATCTACCTTTGTACCTGCTATCTGTCTACCTGTATACCTGTAATCTATCTACCTGTATATCTGTTATCTGTCTACCTGTATACCTGTAATCTGTCTACCCGTATACCTGTAATCTGTCTACCTGTATACCTGCTACCTGTATGCCTGTAATCTGTTGGTGTACCTGCTATCTGTATACCTGTAATCTATCTACCTGTATACCTGTTATCTATCTACCTGCGTACCTGCTATCTGTCTACCTGTATGCCTGTAATCTGTCTAACTGTATGCCTGTAATCTGTCTGTGTACCTGCTACCTGTCTACCTGTATGCTTGTTATCTCTATACGTGGATACCTTTTATCAGTCCCTTTACGTAACTTGGTATGTACTACACCTACTAACTAATGATAGTGTTTATGTCTGTGTTGCTGATATATATTTAATGGCAGTAGCTAGACCCGATATCAGGCTGGGAAATGAGATGAATTTGGAGGGGGAAAGCTTGATTAAGGGTGGAGCTCAGACAATCAACTAACGCTGTGTGTAAAATTGAATAATGCTGTTAGTATAGATAACATGTAATGCTGAATTCTATACCTGTTCGACTCGTTAACATTAGCCATCAAAACTGTTTGATTTCTCAAGAGAACTATTGAAGTCTTTTTGATCAGCTGCCATTGTTTATCTCCTGTGTGGTGCTGTTACATCTCTATCCTAGGTAAAGGTTTCCATAAGCTTATTTAGAAGGGACTTTAATCATAGATACATGTGTGTATCTTTTCTGGATGTAAACACCACTATGATCAGCAGGGAAGGACTTTCTCTGTAGAACCGTACTGAGTACGTTTTATCATAATACAAGCATATATCTAAATGAAAATACAAAATATTAACACAGCAGATGATGTTCCCAATAACTGTATTTGCTATGTTAATATTTTGTATTTCTATATATACAAGTTGTAAAGTGTTTCTCATTTTCTAATTATATATATATATATATACACACAACACTACGATAGTTGTACAGTCAGTTAAGTCTTGTGCTACACTGTTAACATTACAAATCTCTTCATATGCAAAAATCAATGTTTGCTTAAAATTTCCACTTTTAGTTACTGGTTATACTTCACCCCAACCTGCAGCAAACTAGACTGCCCCCATCCCAACTCGCAGCTAACTAGACTGCCCTTACTCCCACCCCCAGAAAACTAGACTGCCCCCACCACAACCCGCAGCTAACTAGACTGTTCTTACTCCCACCCCCAGAAAACTAGACTGCCCCCACCCTAACCCGCAGCTAACTAGACTGCCCTTACTCCCACCCCCAGAAAACTAGACTGCCCCCACCCTAACCCGCAGCTAACTAGACTGCCCTTACTCCCACCCCCAGAAAACTAGACTGCCCCCACCACAACCCGCAGCTAACTAGACTGTTCTTACTCCCACCCCCAGAAAACTAGACTGCCCCCACCCTAACCCGCAGCTAACTAGACTGCCCTTACTCCCACCCCCAGAAAACTAGACTGCCCCCACCCCAACCCGCAGCTAACTAGACTGTTCTTACTCCCACCCCAAGAAAACTAGACTGCCCCCACCCCAACCCGCAGCTAACTAGACTGTTCTTACTCCCATCCCCAGAAAACTAGACTGCCCCCACCCCAACCTGCAGCTAACTAGATTGCCCTTACTCCCGCCCCCAGAAAACTAGACTGCCCCCACCCCAACCCGCAGTTAACTAGATTGCCCTTACTCCCACCACCAGAAAACTAGACTGCCCCCACCAC